GATATTTAGTTCATTCATTTAGTGGTAAATTGAATTTTTTTTATTCCATGTCGTTATTGAGTAATATAGATTAATAATATATTAATAATTATGAAATCATTAATAATAATAAGTATATTATTATTACTATTATTTACTAATATTATATTCTTATTATGTGTGTATTGGTTTTGAAATAAGTAATATTAAATTATTATTATTTATTTTTATTATGAAGTAATTAATTTGTTATAATTACGGTTTTTAGTTAATTCCTGAAATAGTAATTGCTTTTATAATTCTTTTAGTTTAACAATAATGAATAATTGAAAGTTTATAATTYAACTTYCACTAAATGAAATATTTATTGGAGAATAATAATAGTATTAATTATAATTACTTATAATAATAATAATAATAATAATAATAGTAATAATAATAATAATAATAAGAAGAAGAAGAAGAAGAAGAAGAAGAAGAAGAAGAAGAAGAAGTAACACTAATTATATCTTTATAAAATAATTAATATGAATTAATATAAATACGAAATGATTATATCCCAATTAATAGTTAACATTATTGAAATACTTATTAATTATCATTAATTAATTAACATTCCAAAGTAATAATTATCATTGTTATAATTAAGGAGTTAATTATCAGTAAGTAAATATAATCAGTAATTAATTTTTATCAGAAATCATTATTATTAGTAATAATTAATTATAATTATTGATAATAATAATATAATTAATTATTTCATATAAATGTATGAATTATAATTTCTGATAATAATTATAATATAAATAATTAACATTAAATATTTATTTTCAAAATAATTAATATGACTTAATATAAATATAAAATGTATTTCTGAATTATTAATTACCATTATGAAAATCATTATTAATTATCATTCTTAATTAATAATGAGAAAAATTATCAGTAATTAAGTATTAGTAGTAATTATTATAAGAAATTATTATCAGTGAGTTATTAGTATTAGTAATTAATAGCTGAAACCTGAAATTAATTAATTAGAAGCCATTAATTATTATTAGTACCCCTCTCTTTCAAAAAGTTGACTCATCATCATCATCGTCATCATCAATGACAACAACTTGATAAATACATAATTTGATAAAAATAGGTAAATATCATTAATTTATTTTTTATCTTTTGGAAAATTGAATATGAGAAAAATAAAATGGTTAGCATTGCAAATGAAAAATTATTTGGATTTTTGCAAAAAAATATTGAACATAAAAAACCAATTATTGAAAAATAAGGTCGTTAAATCAAAGAGTAATTAAAATTATTCGATAAATAATAATTTTTATAAATTAAAATTAATAATTAATTATCTATCCAAATTAAAATGGGTAATTTCAGCAAATAATTTTAAGTAATTAAACTTTTCTATTAACATTTTTTAATAATAATTAGTATTATTAATATATTAATAATTATGAAATCACTAATAATAATAAGTATATTATTATTATTATTATTATTATTATTACTACTACTACTACTACTACTATTACTACTACTACTACTACTACTACTACTACTATTACTATTATTATTATTTTATTTTTATTATGTAATTAAATTGTTATAATTACGATTTTTAGTTAATTCATAAAATAATATTTGGTTTCATAATTAAGTTTAACAATATTGAATAATTGAAAGTTTTATAATTTAATTTTCACTAAATGAAGTATTTATTGGAGTATAATAATAGTATTAATTATAATTACTTGTAATAATAATAATGTAAATAAGTAGCACTAATTATATATTTATAAAATATTTAATATGAATTTACATTAATATAAAATGATTATATCCCAACTAATAATTAACATTATTAAAATGCTTATTAATTATCATTAATTAATTAACATTCCAAAGTAATGATTATCATCATTAGTATTAGTAATAATTAATTATAATTATTGATAATAATAATATAATTATATTAGTTAATATAATATTATTAATTATAATAATATAATTAATTATTTAATATAAATGTATGAATAATAATTATAATATAGATAATTAACATTAAATATTTATTTTCAAAATAATTAATATGAGTTAATATAAATATAAAATGATTGTTTCCGATTTATTAATTACCATTATGAAAATATTTATTAATTATCATTTTGAATTAATAATGAGCAATATTGTCAGTGATAAATTATCAGTAATTATTATAAGAAATTATTTTCCAATATAATAATGAGCAATATTATCACTAATTAATTATTATTAGCAATTAAGTAATAACAGTAATTATTATAAGAAATTATTATTAGTAATTAATAGCTATAAATAATTAATTAGAAGTAGTTAACAATAATTATTATTAGTAATCAATAGCTGGAATTAATTAATTAGTTTAGTAGTTAACAGTAATTAATAGTGGGAGCTTCCCACTTCTCATAACTATGCATGATGGTGGGCTCCACTTTGCATGGTAGTGGACTCTTTTCTTGAACTACCACTAATCAGAATTTGACACATGTCTAGTGGGTTCTGTTCTTGAACTACCATTAATAAGAATTTGACACGTGTCCATTTTGTTTAAATCTTTGGAACGACAAGTGTCTGAATGTAGATGGGCCACATGTTTGACTGTAGGGGGCTTTGGCCTGAAATCATATATATATATATATTAGATATCTTGATTATAGATTGTAATCATTTACTTATAAATTCCCTATAATTTCATTTATTTATTAAAACATACTCTCTAGTTTGCATATTATCAAAAGACGGAACAGGATCTACTCCTCACACAAGGGCGCCTCACATGCACATCCACCGTGCATTGGGAACATCTCCCGTGAATAATAATTTATAAGTACGGGAGATATTCCCAATGCATGGTACAATGTGCATATGAGGCGCGAATGAGGCGCCCTGTGTGAGGAGCAGATCCGGTCTCTCAAAAGACTCCCATTGTTTGCAATGTGTTTTACTTATCGACCTTCAGTTAAAAACCATTTATACTTCCATTGGTCACTTGACCTCTTAAAATAAGCAGAAAATATGATAGAGCATAGGACTAGAGTTTATTTATTTATTTATTCTGAAAATACCTTTATCAGTTATTATATCATGTACATTCCATGCCTTTCTCCATACTAAGTTATAATTTGTGAGAATGATTTTGTTTCTAAAAAGGTTGATGTGAAAAATATTATGAGTATTTTCAAAATAAAATTCCTCGTACGCATGCTCTTTCACATTTTCCACTCATTTTCAAAGGTTATGTGACCAATTCTGAAAATACAAATGATTCATGATAGAAGGTAAATTAAGTAAAACCTTCGTAATATACTAGTGCAATCGCACCTGTTATATATGCACTTGTGCAAGTATTAAGGTTTGGGCCCATTAAAAATTTGATAAATTCTCAACCCAATCCAAGAAACAGCTCTATTACTGAGCCGTTGTCTATTTAGAATGCTAATATAGGATGACTTTTCAGTTAAAAAAAAATATAGGACGACTTATATGCAATTAACATTTTTTTTGGTACGTATTATTTCCCCTTGACTCATTTTTCCCAAAAGTACTGATTGCAGGATTTGATTTCATGTCAATATTGAAATAAATCAGCTATCACACCAATGAACCAGCCCTCGATTGATTATATGCAGTTAACATGACTAAGTGGATGTTGGGTCAAATCTTAATAAAATGTAAAGAATTAATCTCTACTCCTCCAGCTCCCAAAATTAAAATATATGTATATATATATATATATATATATATATATTTTTTTTTTAAAATATGTAATAAAGCAAAACCTTCTCATGCCATATTTCCTCACATCCTACTTCTACTTTTTATCTCATTTTTCTTATTTAACTTGACCCCTAAAGAAAATTCAGACTTCGCCACTGATTAAAGATATCGAAATGACAAATTGGATTTAAGTAACCGACTTCGTATTTTTTTTTTATTTTTTTTATTTTCAAGCCTCAAAGGCAACAACTTCCATTCAACAAATAGATAAAAAAAAAAACACATCTCAATCATAATCAATGACATGAGGAAATGGAGAGTGCAGAGCAGGTCATCGAAAAACAGCAAAATGTTAATATTTACTAACCGACCTCGTAAAGTTGAGATAAGGCATTGACGATGAGGATGATGATGACATGTATACAGTTAATATTAACTAACTACAGCTTCTGAGTCATGATAGACGGAAACAAAACTTTTGAAGTTAGTTAATATATATGATCATCACCGCCTTTTAGATTGTTAATTATAATTAATTGATAATTATTCTCCAGATAAAGTCTTTACTCTTTACTAGACGAGACATCACCCCACCATGTCCACGTGGCAAAACAAGGCCTTTCTTCTATGATCTTTGGAATTGAAAATCTGATGCTCCAACGGTTAACAATTGTCCGGCTCACCCCTCAATCAAATCGACGGTGAATGGATTGTATGCCTGGGCCTGGCCGGCCAATCCACGCAGTCCATTGTTTGATTAGACGGGTCTGGATTGACTACATTTATTCCCTCTGACGCGGCTGAAGCATTACATATGTGCACCTTCTCCTTAGAATTCCAATCAGAGGGCTAAAGAACATCATCATTGTTCGGATGTTCTTTCTTCAACGGCTCATGGGTGATCAAGTCGTTGGTTGGGTGACATTGTGATCAAAATTCCAATCAGAGGGCAATTACCTTACCAAAAGTTCTGACCGAGTCGAGTCATAGGAAGAACAATTAGCTCCAGCTTCCAGCCACGTGTGTCCGGGGGTAGTTGTGTAAAGTACGGTACATCTTGATTTGATTTAATAGTTTCTAAGTAAAAATCAACGTAGGAGATTTGTCGAGTCCGTGTTGGGCGCTCCATCTGGTGTTAAGCGACTGAGGAGAAAAAAAAGACAGGGAGAAGAGAGAAGAAGGAAACACAGCGGAGACGAAGTTGAGACGCTTATTACTAGCTTCTGGTTCTGGGTTGATTTTCGGTCCTTAAAGCCGCAGCCATTCAGTGTTTCATGAATTGGGTTTTACAGAGTGTGAGTTCTTGATCTGGTCATCTCATAAAAGCAATAGAGAAGGAGGAGGAGGAGGGAGCAGAATAAATAGCCAAGAGGAGCGTCCAGACAGTGGGGGAAGAGGATTCCATTGTCATGATCTCATGCGTCGAAAACTGTCGTTGCCGGTATGATCAACAGCAGCAGCAACGGTATAATGTCTTCGTCATCGGCAAACGCTCAATCGCCTGGGCTGAAGACCTACTTCAAGACCCCAGAAGGCCGTTACAAACTTCAATACGAGAAGACTCATCCCGCCGGTCTCCTTCACTATGCACACAGCAAAGCCGTTACTCAGGTATGTATTTCAAGGGTTTTCTCTCTGTTCCCCTCTCTTTATTTATCGGAATTGATACCCATATTTATATTGAATTATCTCCTCCATCTGTTTGGTTCTCAGGTAACCCTTGCGCATCTCAAGGATAAACCGGCACCAGTGCCATCCGCCCCAACTTCAAGCTTGAGCAGCGGTAGCGCAATGAGATCAGCAGCTGCCAGGCTCTTAGGCGGGAATGGGAGCCGCACACTTAATTTTGTAGGGGGAAATGGTTCTAGTAAAGGCGTTGCGGTAACTAGTAGGATTGGTTCATTGGGGGCTTCGAGTACCAGTAATTCACCAGCTGCTTCGAATTTTGACGGAAAGGGGTCTTATCTGATATTTAATGTCAGCGACACAATTTTCATCAGTGACTTCAATTCTCCAGATAAGGTATCTTTCTTCTATTTCCACTACTGGTCTCTGCTTGGTCCCCATTTTTTCAAGTTGTTTTTTTTAAGAGAATTATACATATGAGCTGCAGGATCCTATTAAATCAATCCATTTCAGCAATTCAAACCCTGTCTGCCACACTTTTGATCCCGAAGCCAAGGACGGGCATGACTTGCTTATTGGATTGAACTCTGGAGACGGTAATTTGTTTTAGGTTTGAAGCCCCCGGCATGATTTATTTTCTTGTCTTTCTGAATTTCAAACACATGTTTTGTTTTCTTTTCTGTATGTGCATTTTGTAGTATACTCGGTGTCACTGAGACAGCAACTGCAAGATGTAGGAAAGAAGCTTGTCGGAGCCCAACATTACAACAAAGACGGTTCTGTAAATAACAGGCAAAACCTTAATTCCGTTTTTTTGTTTTCATCATTAGCTTTTTTAACGCTGCTTAATTTTGTGAATTAAGAATTCCGCATACATGTATTATGGTATGATGGAGTAGTTACTAGTTTTTTCTTTTTTTTTTTTTGGAAAAAAGGTAAGGTAATTTTATTAAAACAACAGAAATTACAGAGGAGCTCCAAAACGGGAGCTAGAAACAGAGAACCAAGCCCAAAACTATATTACAGCTCAAACAAACTTCTAGACCTCAGCTGTGCACCAAGAGCCCTGGATTGGAACCTTTTCACAGCTGAAGTCCAAGACACCAATTTCCCCACACTACAAGATACAAGACTATCTACATCCTTAGATTTGTTTTGAAAAACTCTTCTGTTTCTCTCTGCCCAGATGGTGCTGATCACTGCTACAGGAATAGCCAACCACACACTTTTTGCCAACTTGGAGAGGTCTTGAAGCTCCCAGTTTCTTAAGAGATCCATCACTTTACTTGGCATGACCCAGGAAAGTCCCACAGAAGAAAGAAAGTGATCCTACAAGGCTGTTGAGACAGGACAATGGATAAAAAGATGGTTGTTGTCCTCTTCATTTTGGCCACAAAGCGCACAACCCAAATTTTGAATTTGCATTCCCCTTCTAACCAGATTCAGCTTAGTAGTTATTAGTTTTTATCCTTACTACTATCTTGTAGCATGATGCACTTTGTGGCCACTTACACTCGATTGAATAACAATTGACTTTATTGTCTCTTTTCCCTTTATTTAAAAATGTTTTTCATCTCATTTATGATTTCTGACAAATAACCATAACCTCAGCCATGTAAAATCTGAAGATGCAAGTATAGGATTAACAGGTCATGGTTGGGAATGTGGTAGTATGGCTCAAGTTAGTGGGGTTGTGGATATGGATTATGGAGATGGATTCATCTATTGAAAAAGAAAAAAAGGATTGGGGATATGGATTTGGGAGTTAGAATCTGATATGTTTCTAGAAGTCTGTCTGACTTGGTGAGTTGAAAGAATATGGATTTGGGGACATGTCTAAGAAAAAAAATACTTGCTTAAAAAGTTGGATATATTGTGAACTCTAGTGGCATATACCCATAGAAGGACATAAGTAGATGCAATAGTTCACATTTGCTACCTAAAGGCAATACAAAAGAAAAAGATGGAGTTTATTATGCATGCCAAGTGTTGACTATGGGAAAATATATATGCTAAATGTTCATTTATATCAAATAAGCGAGGAAAAAAGAACACAATAAGGAGAAGCATCCCTTAAGAATCCAAGGAGTGTTGGAATCCCATGCCTGTCCAATGAAGTCACGTTATCCATTTAGGAGAGTTCATCTATGATGTAACAAGTGTTGCATTGGCATGTAAATTGGGTTGGAATCCGACACATGTCGAGGGATCTGATTCAACCAGATGAAAAAATGTGGACTTGGGGATGCATCTAGAATTGGTATTTACTATTAACAAATATATATTGTTCATTCTATTAACATATATCCATGGAATGTTCTATGAGTAAATCCAAATTCTAAAAGTTTGTTCTATTACCTAAAAACATACTATGGGAAAAGATAAAATTCATTATTTTATATTGAATGTTCATTTATGTCAAGCAAACAAGGAGAAGTGTTCTTTCAATATCCTGTGGAGTGCTAATTATATAAAAAAAGTCCTGTGGAGTGTTGGATGTGTCCATCTAGGAGTTTTCACATAACACTCCATTCACATGGCATTGGTTCTTGTGTCTCTGTCTTCCATCCGAAGTCTCATTTTCTATATGTGGATAGTGTGTTTAGGAAAACCTTCAAGTTGATCATTTGATCCCGAGGCAAATGAATATGAAAAATTTTAAATGTGCTATGTAATGGTAGTAAGGAGTCTATCTCCTATATCTTGCTCCATTACCCGTTCTTTTGAAATTCCTGGTGCACTTTACCATCTTGTTACAGTGTCAATTTGTAGCTAGAGTGGGCACTGCATGACTTATGGTTCCTTTTGCCATTTGTTGTGCTGTATCTGTGTAGAAAGAGAGAAAGAAGATAATATTTGATGTTTTTCATAGGCATTCAGTTAATTTTTTATGCCGATACCTGTTATTTTGTTTGATGAACTGGATTCTTGTTCTTAATGGGTTCAAAGGGAGAAACACACATTTTGTTTATAGGCATTCTTTTGTTTTGGATGAAGAGGTAACCTTTTTTGGCTATGGTTTTTCTTGTACATCTTTATATAGTCTCTTAATTATAAATAACATTTTAATTACATTCAAAGAAAAAATAATATCTAATCTTGGAAGGTAAAGGGTTCTATTTGTAGAGGTTGCCCTTTTTTCTTTATGATCTTGTACGGGTCCCTTAGACAACCTGTTAAGGGAAATTATGCAACTAACAAGGGAGCTTGAAGTCTGTTTTAAATGGAATAGGAGATCAGCCAATGCAATGGCCGATACTCTAGAAAAGCAAGGAGTTAGTTAGTAGGGAGAACCTGTTTTGGGCGTGTTTGTAATTTTTGTTGAGGGGTCACCTTGCTTTTGAAGGTGACAGTTGTACTAAGCCTTTTAAAGAATTAATGAAAGTTACCGTTTCCCATAAAAAAAATCTTGTACGGGTTATCTTTATTAGAACCCAAGTCTATTTGCTATATTGGAGTTTTTGGAGGAAAAGAGTTAGAATGTTATCTTTACCAAAACCTAAATCTATTTGCTATATGTTGCATCATTTGGAGGAAAAGAAGTAGGAGAATATTTGAAAGATAAGCAGTTTTCAGTATCTATCGAAGAGGATTAAGCAATAAACTTTCAATTATTTGTCTTAAAGGGGTTTATAGTCTTTAGCTTCATATCTTTTTAGTAAAATTTACCTGAAATTAATTTTTACTCATCTTTTGATCTGTAGGCAGCATATCCATGTATATATGCCATAGACACACTCCATACACCTACCTGTAATTGGGCTTTAGTCCATTATCTTGATCTCTTTACATCAATACAACAGTTTATCATAATGCAAGGAAAAGAAGGGACTGAAAGTGAACCTTTTGTGCAACTCTAAATCTTTTATGTCCAGATACTTATAAATGTATTTTTCTTAAAAAATATATCTATAAATGTATAGTATACTAGTGTTTAACATGATACATGCCTGATATGGCAACAGATGCTGCAAGGGAACCTCTAAAGTATGCTTTATAGCATTAACACTTTTATATTTATATGGCTTGTTTTAACAAAATCATACTATAACCTGTACATATTAAAAGTTTAATTAAATTTGGCAAGATGTAAGTATTGAGAAATGACACTAAGCTTCAAAACTAGATAAAAAAAGTAGTGTTATCAATGCGGTGAAGTGATGACTAGTTGTTTAGGCCTTTCTAGTCAATATGATGACTAGTTGATGCATAGGCACCGGCTAGTTGATAAAAAAAAATATATTCTAAATTTAAGATGCTGATGCAATCTCATAAATAAGCTAATATAAACTACAATTATACAGGAAAATAATGATATCCAACATTTAGTTTAGCCTTTGTTTTGCAAACAAAGAAAAAAGTTTCCAAAGAAAGAGGGCAACTTTGATTATTCTATGTGCCCTTTGTTTGTGGCAACTCCTAACCAATACACTACTATTTGGAAGAAAACTTAAAAATAACTCCTTCATTGCCTACATTTATTTTATGCCATTTTTCTATTTTGTATATCACATTCCAATCATGTTCTATCACAAATATTAAAAGCAATAGCATGGATATAACAAAACAAAGACATTTTTATATTATCTCAAATAATTAGAGATACAAACAAACAAATAAATCTTTAAAATGACTTTGCAGTTGGCTAGGTAGACTAGTCATTAATCAACTAGCTGACCTAGTTGATGCTTAGTTGTTCTTGGCAGTTGGCAACCACAATATGAGTATAAACTGATTAGTTAGTGATGCAGCTGGTCTGGCCCTCAGCTGACTAGTGGGTCAATTCTTTGATAACACTGACAAAAAACATGATATAAACATATTAAATAGGAACATTTGCTGCCTGTTTGCTCCCTGCTTGGCCAAGGCATCAGCCAATCTGTTGAGTGATCTGTAAACCAAGGTTTAAAGTATCAATACACCCAATATGCATGAACAGGTGTATCAGGTGTTCTGATACAACAAAACATCAATTTTTTAATTTTGTTTTTCAAAATTGGTCAGGGGGTTGGTCGTAGGCCTGCCTACCCCCTGAAAATGCCCAAATTCCCAAATCCCCTTTGTTTCCTGTATCAGAGCCCCATTGATACGATATGATACACCTGATACGGGTATCGTATCAAAATTTTGAACTTTTCTGTAAACTCACTTGAAGCTAGTCCTTCCTCACTCATCAGTTGTTTGGCTTCCCTCATCAAATGTTTACACTGTCACGGAACTTGGCTATTATATTTTAACAAACACACCACTATTTTGGAGTCCTCTTCTGCCTCTATATTTCTGAGATCCAAGTTTTCTACTCAGCCTTAGACCTTGAAGGCTAGCCAATAATTTAGCCCTCATTGAGTTCCCAGCTATTATTGGTCCAAAAAGCATGGCTACTCTCCTACTATTTTCTCCAAGGTTATTTCTGAACACTCCTCCAGTGCTGGCCAAACCTGGATTTCTCATGCTACTTCCATCAAAATTTAGTTTTTACCTGATTGTTATTTGGTGGCTTTGACTCCATTTAAAGTGTAGGTCCATCTGTAGATGATTTTGCAACCTGCTTCTATCCTCTCATAGTATCATCCATGGGGACGGGCAATGATATCTAGTGTTTTCAGCCAATGAACCTCTCTAACCAAGATGTTCTCCAGTAAGGCTAACCTTGAATGAGCCACCCTAATTTTTGGTGGAACTGGATCATTCCAAATAGCCCTAACTGGGAAATCCTGTGAAGAGTCAGTGAAAAGTAAGGGTATTGAAGGATGCACAAGAGGAGGCAGTCCAAACATTGACAGCCTCACTTG